CCCCTTCTTACTTGAGCCTTTGTAATTTTAGGGGTTGTTAACTATATATATATATATATATATATATAAAGTTGGGAGCAAGATCACCAAAAGCTGTTGGAAGAGGAAGGAGCATTTGATATGATAAAGACGACATGGACTAATGCTATTGTCTTGGGTTCTTTTGGATTCAACATTCATAAAAAACTTATGAGTGTGAAGCATATGCTGATTCGATGGAAAAAAGAAACTCACTTTTGGCTGCAAAATAAAATCAGGGATACTTTAATGTGTTTGGAAGGAGTGGAGGGTGTGGTACAAAATGGAGGAGTACTAACGACTGCTTTACACGAAGAAAAGAGTAAGCTTCTGTCAACTTTACATGGCTTTTTACGTTCAGAAGAAATATATTGGAGGCAGAGATTGAGGGCTAGATGGTTGAAAGAGGGTGATTCGAATACCAAGTTCTTTCATGCCATTGCGAATGCTCGGCGTTGTCAGAATGATGTGTCAAGTATTTGTTTTGAAGGGGTAGAGGACAATAAGAGTGATGAATGGGAGATGGAGTTTGTGAAGCATTTTCAGAAAGTCTTTGCAAAGGACTTACAGATAAAGCCAAAATTTAATGGTTTGGGTTTTAAAGTGTTACCAAAGTCGGTTGCTTTGTCTTTAGCAGGAATGGGGCATCAGAGGAAGAAATTAAAAGGGCCATTTTTGCTTTGCCAGGGGATAAAGCCCACAGTCCTAATGGATTTCTAGTGGTTTTCTTTCAAAAATTTGGGGATCTCACAAAACTAGAATTGATGTTATGGTTAATGAGTTTCTTTCAAAATGAGTAGTGAATAAAGCCATAAACTCAACCTATATTGCTTTGATCCGAAAAAAGCAGGCTATAACAGGAATGTCGGATATCAGACCTATCAGTCTTCTGACTTGTTTGTATAAAATTTTAACAAAGTTACTGGCCGATAGACTTAAAGGCGTCCTTAATTTGGTCATTTCAGGAATACAGTCGGCCTTCATTAAAGGGAGAATTATTATAGATGGAGTCTTAATTGCACAAGAATGTGTTCATTCGATAAAGTTGGAAAGGAAGCCAAGAGTATTGCTTAAATTAGATATGGAAAAGGCTTATGACCTGGTCGATTGGGATGTTTTGCTGGAGGCGTTGAGATGTATGGGTTTTGGGGGACAATGGAGAAGGTGGATAAAAAGGTGCATTTCTTCGACACATTTTTCAGTGATGGTTATTGGAAGCCGAAAGAATTTTCTAAGCCCTCAAGGGGATTGAGGCAGGGAGACTTGCTTTATCCGTTCTTGTTCACAATTGTTGTTAAAGTTATGAGTCTGATGATAAGGAATGTAGAAGAGAGGGGAAGATTTTATGGATTTAAGCTATCTGAAACATCTCATTTGACAGTGACTCATCTACAATATGTAGATGATACTTTGATGTTTTGTGATGCAGAGGTGGATCAAATAATTAATATCAGAAGGTTCGTGTGCTGTTGTGAAGTGGTGCTCGGCTTCAAGGTTAATTTTGAGAAAACATCCTTGGTGAGGGTGGAGTGTTTGGATGTAATGCTAAAGCAGTTGGCATTTCATTAGAGAAGTTTCCAATTAGTTATCTTGGCATGTCAATCTCGGATGGAAGAATGCCCAAGTCGGTGTGAGATCCGGTTTTAAAAAGAGTAAACACAAAACTAGACTTGTGGAAAGTTAAGGGAGAGTTACTCTAATGCAGTCATCAATGGCGAATTTACCGATATACCAAATGTCCTATTTAGTAATGCCGAGTTCAGTGTCCAAAAAGATTGAACAGATGATGAGTAACTTTTTATGGGGTTCGGGAGATTTTGGCAATAAATATCATTTGGTAAGTTGGGAGAGGATTTGCACACCAAAAAAAGGTGGTTTGGGAATTAGAAAACTCAAATATGTGAATCAAGTTTTGCTTTCAAAGTGGTGGTGGAGATTAATGAGCCATGATGGGATGTTTTGGAAAGATATATTAATAGCCAAGTGTGGAGTGGACCAGCATAATCTAGGCAACGGGGGAAGGGATGTTCTTAAATCATCGACATGGAAAGGAATTCTTCAAAATAGATTTTTTATGATTGGTGGTTGTAAGTGGATTTGGGGTGAAGGGAGAAATATATCTTTTTGGCATAGTAAGTGGGTGGGAGATTTGTTGCTTGAAATCGGCATATCCGCTGGTTTTTGGAGCGACAAATCAACAAGATATCATAGCATCTCAAACCTTTGATTGGGATGCAAATGTCTGGTCTTTAAACTGCAGGTATAACAGAGTTTCGGACTCAGTGATTGATCAATATACTTCACTGCTTTGGGATATTCATGGGCTTATGCCACACAGAGAGAGGGAAGACGATTTGGTTTGGAAGGTTAAGAAGGACATTTTCTTAGTTAAATCATCGTACAGTCTGTTGTTTCATGATAGGATTCGGTGGAGCAGGCCATTATTGAAGAGAATATGGTGTTGGAAGGTCCCTTTCAAAATTCAAATTTTCTTATGGATTTTGTTCTAAGGAAAGTCGCTTACTGTGGATAAGATCATAAAAAGGGGCAGGATTATTACAAATATTTGCATTCTTTGTAAGGAAAATGATGAGAATGGATATCATCTTTTTCTTCATTGTCCTTTCTCTTCTCTTTCAAAAAATTGGACATCTGATGGTGGTGCCGAGTAGTCATATGAATATTTGGGTAGCATGAAGTTGGATTCTTTACCAATGGAGGGCAAGATGATTTGGGAGATGGTAAGAGTTGTTGTTCTTTGGGAGATCTGGATGGAGCGCAATAGGAGGACATTAGATAATAAAGCTCTGAAGGTGGAATTGGTTAAAAGAAAGATTCTACATTCGGTTTGGAGTTGGTTCTCTGTGACAAAGAAAGGGTTTGGAGTGACCAAAGTTGATGTTGAGATTAATTTGCATCATTTGATGCTTCAAAAAGTAATGAAAGTGAGACCAAAAGGTAGGTGGAGCTTACCTATGCTAGGGAGCATCAAAGTTAACTTCGATGGAAGCTCATTAGGAAACCTAGGCCTATTTGGAGTTGGAGGAATTTTGCGAGATGCATTTGGAGAGGCGATCTTCTGTTTTGCTGGCCCTTGTTGTGAGGTAACGGCTAATGAAGCAGAATTGGCTGCGTTAGAGTGTGGAGTTCAGACTGTGAGTCAGAAGAATATCAGAATACCATGTATTGTAGAAGGGGATTATCTGAATGTGATAGATTGGTGCAATAAGATATCCAGGCCACCATGGAGCATGAGGAGGAAATGGCTAAATATTATGGATATGTGTGAGGGTCTCCAAATCTCATTTCAGCATGTGTATAGGGAGGCTAATGACATTGCCGATAGATTGGCAAAACGATGGGTGTCTATGCAGAATTTGTTTATTTCGGATGTTTGCCTTTGACTGATTAATAAAGCTTTAGTAACATTGTCAAAAAAAAAAATCACCAAAAGCTCGCTTGGGATCCCCAAAAGGTTGAGATCGAGATCCCTAATATATACATTTACAAACGTTATTGCCAACCATAGAGATCTAGCCTTTCACGGTCGACCTAATTCCCAACAATATGAATGAGCTTGTAATTAACATGTTAGTCCAAAACATTCAGGATGAAGTTTGCAAAAGGCACACCTCTAAAATTTGCTTTGAGATGTACTTTCAGTATCGGAAACGTTATGATGGGTTTAAAATATATTTTTATCCCTAATTATGAAATTTAAAAGTTTCAAAATAGGATATATAAACACTTGAAAATTGTTAAAATAGACGATTTAGACAATTTGTTGCAAGATGTACTATTTTAGGACTTTTTTTATCTTGAAGTCAAAATGAACAATTTTGGGGTTCCCCCAAATCAAAACGCACTCTTCTAGAGGATTTTTGATGCGCACATTCTTTTCCTTTTCTTTTTCCCTTTTCTTTGGCTAAAGAGGTGTACTTCAATAGTATAAGGTTGCAACCTTATATAAACGTTTTTCATACATTTGCTATTCATATTGAGCAAGTTGGTCAATGCATACAAATATAGCAAAATACATCTAGCCTTGAGAACACTTCGTGGTTTTGTAGTTTATTGGAAGTTAATATGTATGAAAACAATTGCTATCATTGAGGGTTGACATGGATTTCGGATAGGTTGAGACGCGAGTGTAGGTAATCGGAATGGTGAGGCTACTGCAATCAAGTCTTTTGTCTTTTGAAATCAGTGTTTAATTACTCAGCGGAGTTTGAGTAGTGTTTAACTACTCAGCCAAGTTTCTCAAATTCGACTGAGTTATTCAGCCTCGGACTATTATTCAGTAATGTATTACGTCAGTAATATATTTCACAAACAATATATTTCCATGTATCCAAATGGCCCCTTTGGGTATAAAGGCAATGTGAATAGTACTCGTCCAAGATCGTAGAACTTAAGCGAGTTAATAGCCCAAGTACTGTAAAACTCTGATAAGTTAATAGCTGTAGAACTCGGGTAAGTTAATGGCCTAAGCATGGTAGAACTCGGAGAAGTTAATTGCCCGAGTTCTACAGTACTCGGTTAAGTATGAATAGTACTTGCTAAACTACTTTGAATATAGTAAAAAGAGGGGCACTACCCTCCTTCTCTCTCTCTACACACACAAAGGGGGTGGCGCTCTCTATTTCTTACACACACGGATAGATTTCCTCCACCTTTTTCTCTAAAATGGGGTGAAGAATCATCCTTGTTTCCATTTCTCTCCTTCAAGACTGAGAGATCTGTGAATACGAGAGAGAAATGTATATATGCATGTGTCGAGAGAGCAATGTGGCCAAAGCCCTGTCTCTCCCCCTCTTGTCACATGCCCAAACCCCTCTTCCTCTTTTAGGCATATGTCTAAAACCCACATTCTTCTACTTTTTTTCAAGAGTGCACTACTCGGGCAACGCCCAAGTAGACTTTCTAAAAATTCTTTGAAATAGTTAATTGCATGATATATGAGAGAACAATCCAAGGCACAATAGGAAACAAAAAGCGGAAAACTTTGATGTTCAAACTTGATTAAAAGACGGACACGATTTCTATGCTACCAGCCAACATATTATAGAAATGCAGGCTTGACAATAAATAAATTTTTTTATTATAATTTGATCTTAATTTTTAGAGAAGATATAATCTTTAATATGAAGATCATAAATATGACCAAAAAAAAAAAGAACTAGAAATAATAATTATATTAAGAAAACATTTGGACCGTTAACTACACACTTTTTTAGATGGACCACCTATTAGCATCCATATTTAAAGTGGATGCTTTATATCTCTTGACTGCATATTGGAGAAATGGGGTCCAGCCCGCATGAAACATTTTTCCTTAAAAAAAACAGCAAATGATAACGGTTGAGAAACGATAAGGGTACAACAAAAGTACAACTTCATTGTGGCTATATAATCGTTTGAATTAAACGGGTAGACTACAATCACATAATAGATTTAAAGACTAGAGAGCTCCAGATCTTTGGAGCCTGAGTCTTGAATAGAACATCATGACTACACACATGAATAAAAAGGACTGATGTTCATCCACTTCTAAAGCTTTTCTAGGTCTTAGCTTACGGAAAATGAATTATCCGAATACAACACATGGAAGTGGATAAATTTGTAATACAAATTTTGAAAGAAAGACTAATGTGATATTGCATAGGGATTTTTTTTTTTTTTTTCTTCTTTTCACCAGTTTTCCTTTCTTTCGGCAAAAG